GGAGTCGAATTTCCCTTTATGTCGAGCAATATTCCAGCAGCCCCAATCGTTTGGTGTGTACATTTCACAACTTGTGAGGTACAAATGAGCAGGCAGTTCCTGCAGAGATTTAAAAGGACGACATACGACTCTTGCTCAAAAGTTGTTTGATCAATTTCCAAAATAAGCGGCCACAGTAAAGCTTTCAAAATGTTTTATGGTAGACATGTGGAGGACATTTCCAAATTTGACACGTCAGTGACAAGAATGATGTCAGGTGCAATTCCCTATTTTCACTTGTATTATATGTTCCCGTGTTTTTCAGGTGAACAGTTGACTTGCCTTTGCAAGTGTTTGTGTCGGATACCACTGGTGGCGCAGGACAGTAATGCTCACCTTTTCGCGAACACCTGGTATCATTACTGTTTTATAGTGATATAAACACTTGCTGATGATATGTTGGGAATCGTGCAATCGATTCAGCTTTCAGTAGAGATTTATGGAAATGTTTTTGTCGACTTGTGTGAATGTCTCATCTGTTTCATATTTAGATCTATGCATAAAGATTCGGATCCCACGACACCGCAACAAGATGGATGATTTCAACTTACCAGTAGTCGAATTTCCCTTTATGTCGAGCAAATATTCCAGCAGCCCCATCGTTTGTTGTCTACATTTCACAACTTTTGAGGTACAAATGAGCAAGAATGATGTCAGGTGATGACTTGTGTGAATGCATGTTGATTAATAGAGAAAGACGTGGTTTTGTAATGCTAAAGATCCAAGGTATTTAACACTTCATTATTATCCTGCAAATATGAATGCATAATACGTTCAAATATGTGTGGGGAGAAGTACGTCAGCGATACCGTAAGAACCCGTTGACGTCATCTGAACCGCCTTGACAGCAAGATGTAGTAACGTTAACTACAGTGAAGGTGTTATGTCAGCTTGTACTAAGATCCGCTTCCAAGCCGTACTAAGATCCGCTTAAAGCCGTTCTGAGATCCGCTGACAGTAGTTTCAATCAATGATTTGTCATGATTATTAGCCTTGGACTTTCAGCACCATAGCGTGCTCGGTAGTTTCACTTAAGTCTTTAACATTGTGATACCTCCAGCTATCCTATTCATTTATGTAACATTCCGCGATATAATTGAAATACTGTGTAAAGCGGCTTTAACCCCAATCACTCAATTCACCAAAGTGGCAATCTTTACCTGAGTCACGTCCCTCCCACATTAAGCTGGTACGCTGTTTGTACGACTAGATACTGCCCACAGAGGCCTACAATTCACTCATGAGACCAAACCATAAATCAAGATGAGCTTTAGGGTGGCGTTGTGGTTAAGAGTCCACATCGAATACTCGGGTTCGTTTTCCCATCGTTACAAAATGATAAGCCCGTTTAACAGTAGTCACCAGCACATGTGTACGAAATTACACTTTTAGTTTCGTATCCAGTACGGATACGAAACTAAAACATTCAACCCTGCTTTGTCTGTTACGGATACCAAACTAAAATATTCACTCCTGAATTGTCGTCTTTATCAAACTTTTGTAAATTTTACACATGTTTGTGCTTGAATACGTAGGTTTTACCAAGCATATATATCTGGAATATTGCTAAAAGCGGTGTACGAAAATAAAACTCCCTCAAACTCAAGAACTTTCATGCAAAGATTCTTTGATAAATAACACAATTTCTATGTTAATTATTTTCGATGGAACTTATTATTTTTCTCAAATCTCTTTAAAAAAGTAATTGTAATTGTGTTTGTACATGTCGCACTGCGTCTGAAGAATTACATACTCATTCAAAGCTGATATAAAACGGATATACAATATCCCTTTATTGCTTGCATCAATTTGTTCTTGTTTTAAACAAACTGTCTTCATATCGCATGTTATCGTCCCTTGTTCTGCTCAACTGGGTTCCGCCTTTCAAAGTGAATGCTACCGTTACGGCCACCCCCGAACACCAAGACAAGTAGCGTTACCAGTCGGTAAAAGTAATCCTTACTTCTTTTCGTTTATCGCCTGTTTGACGCTGTTCGTGCCATAAAACTTCACATTTCTGTCAACACAAGCAGTGGAAATATTTAAACTGCCATGTGGCGCATCATGCTTGCCGTTTTATTATAAGGTAACGCGACTTGAGACTAGTAAGAAGTTGAAACGAGCGACCCCTGAGGGAGAAATCGTTGAAGCGAGACGCCATTGGCTATTGAGGGAGATCTTCTTACTGAGAGGCGAGAAAAGAGCTGTCTCCCTCTGTCTTTGTCGTCGTCCTTGGCTGACTTCACCGCGAAGACAGAATCTCGAATATCTTTCAAAGAAATCCGACATGCATTATTATAACTTAATCCTCCTGTTAGCAAGACACTTGAGTGTGCCTAATTCCGCAGTGTTGTTACTAGCCCATGCAAGAAAAGTTGTTTATTATTGATCAGAAAGAAGTTAATAAAATTTCAAGGTGTTAGGAGCCTTGTCCTACCCAGTGAATGGGATATATTTTCTATCATGGATGAAAGATCATTAGTCATGTTTTATTAATCTGAACATATAAACTCGATGTTTCACCCCCTTTGCCACAATGATTTTCAGAGTAAGAGCATAAAGATAATTAAGAAAATACATAACAATAAGAACATATGCCTCTTTGTGTCAAATACTATATGGTTCAAGAAAACACAAACATCCTTTATGTATTACTTTTGCAATTAAAATCGATATCATTATATTTAACCAAGATGTTACCACGTGCACGGTTGTTTTATTATAATGATAAATCTCGAAAATGCTTGATTTGTTTTTATGGTATGATTTTAATATATTCTTTTGCAAAACATGCGACCAAACTCGTTTTCCATAATCTGATGTGATCAAACACTCGTGAATGAAAGGGTATTTAACTGAACTTATTACTCAAACTCAACGTGTAATCTGTCCGACTACGTTATAAACCAAACCATTGTGTGTTTTGGAGTAAGCCCTAAACATTATGAGGGAACAATGACGAGTGTATGAGGTGAGATTTTACCCCTATCTGAACAACATTTTCGTTCTATCGTGGCGTGTCAGCTTGATACTGGAGGAAAACTCAAAAGTAATGAAAGTCATAGAAACTTCCCACTTTGGTGAAACCAAAAAGCAGTACTAGTGGTATATGTTTCTGCTAACCTAGACACTTAATCTGACATGGATAGTTAATAATAGTACTATCTTGATATAGCTTCATATATCATATATATATATGATATATTTCTTTCACTTACACCTTTAAACCAGTATTATCAGAAATGGACATAGCAATTGATTGCTTGTAGGTTAACATAATACTGGTAAGTGAAAGAAATATATTATATATATGTGATCAACAATTTATCATCACTCATGGTTATCCACAAAGCAAGCTTATTAAAGTGTACATACACCTTAGCTCACTCACATAAAACTATTACCATATTACCTAACGTCATTATGGCTATTGGTAAAATCGAAACTCCAAAACTTCATCGCCAGATAATAACCAGTCACGAATGGTTCCAGACAAAGAAAATGCAATTGAGCATTTACTCACATGTTATCAATCACTTTGGATATTGATGGTCAATATATTCTACTTCCTTAGTCCAGTCTATTGGTTTTTTTAAGGCAGTGAATGAACCTTTATTAAACATAGTTCAACATAAGCCCCAGGTGTGCCACATACCACATCTGCTCAGCCATACAGGGGGCGGTCGGGTAGCCTAGTGGTTAAAGCGTTCGCTCGTCACGCCGAAGACCCGGGTTCGATTCCCGACATGGGTACAATGTGTGAAGCCCATTTCTGGTGTCCCCCGCCGTGATATTGCTGGAATATTGCTAAAAGCGGCGTAAAACCATACTCACTCACTCACTCACTCAGCCATACAGTCTATGCATCAATAAGCAAGACGTCGCACTTTTTGCATTATTCACTGAAAACAGAGTTGATGTTATCACGTCCACATTCAATCAATAAATTAGGATCTATGAAGACATGCAGGTTTGCAGCTGAAAAGAGTACAATGGATAATTACTCAGTGTCGTTATTATTGATTCCTTTTAGTTTTTCATACGTATTTGTACGCATGCCACTCAAAATATATTGGGCTCTGCTGCTTTAGTGTGTGTATTTTCTGCAAAAAACACAGCTCATCTAGAGCTCTGTCAGATCATTGAAAATAATTGCTCTACGGGTAGCACCCGCCAGTCACACAATTTTCATTAACAACGTAAGTTCCAGTGAGTAAGGAGGATCGTGTTGCCGAGCATCGTGTCATAAATAACAAACTTCGCTAAATGTCTACCATAAAATATCTAGAATGACTTAATCAGGCCCTTGGTGGTAACCCTTGATTGACAATCTTAGTTGTCTTTCCATGAACTTTGAATAAAAGGCATTTGCTCTTAAGTCCCTGTTCAATCGAGAAACGCAGAGGCCATAAGCTGGTGTTGGTATACTGCTCGACATGAAAGGGAAATGTATGATCTGATATCCTACAACCGAGTCTGCCATCATCATAATTTTCTGGGCACAGATTCAGAAACAAAGCACTGAATATTGTTTCTCAGTTGCTTCTTTGACTTCAAACTCCCAATGTGTGGTGTAGTCCTGAATCAGATGAACGACAACAGAGGTTATGTTTATGGTTACATGGTATGAAGAGGTGAGAATGAGTGAGTGAGTTAATATTTAACTTAATCGGTGTTATATCCCCATGTAGCGAGGAGAACTAGTTATGTTAATAAAATATATCACCAAAGGAAGTAAAGGGTTAACAACCGATTCCAATTAGACAAGTAACCATAGCACAAAGACATCAGTGAGCAGTATACATAATTGTAGAAGCAGTATTTCAGCGAAACAATAATCATCCATGCGTATCGATAAAAAAAAAAAACATGTATATTTTATGAATGAGATACATTCCTATTCAAACACCAAAATCTTCTCAAACCTTTGTGAAAACACATATCAAACCAACATATTCTCGTGATGCTTTATTACTCTCAATACACAACTGTTCTGAATATTTACAATGAATCTCACAAGTTGAGAATTGTATATCTTAGACTAATAAATAACACTTATGTACATCAAAATATTTTACATGTATCAAAACTGTGCAGCTCATCATGCAGGACCAACCTGCGACCAGAATGTTCTCTCGATGAAACTATACGATTATGTTTCAAAATACCCTTTAAAATTTGTAACATCAAATATCATATATACAATAACTTAACACGGTCATTTGATGTACATGTAAAACTGTATACATTAATTTCATTTCATATTTTAACGTACTTATACTATACAGTCCTGGGAGTCATTTCATCTCAGCCGTATGTATGACAGAGTGAATTAAATCACATGTTTTCTGTTCTATGGTTTCGTATCCTTGACACGCACTTAATACTTGGTTAACAGATTTCACGTATCTTAATGAGTACCAATAGTAATTTGTCATTACGTTGGAGAAACTGGCCCATAGTGTTCAGTGCATAAGCATTAAGTGCATCTTTAAGTCCATGTCACAGCAACTGAAATTTGGTGTTCGTCACTCTGTCTTACAAAATAGCTATTGCGGGGTGTTTTTAATAGAAGCACATGCACTGGACTAATAATATGCACATATCTAGAACTCCCATGTATTTTGTTATAAAGAACCGTCTACTGCTTCGCTACATTTAAACTCATTCAATGAAATATTATATTAACCTATTAAACTGCCTGAGAACTGTCCGGTGCTTTGCTAGGCATTGACAAGTTTACGATGTCTGCAATGCTAGTGACTTTAGAGGATGAGGCAGCATGGGAAATCTCAGGCTTCGGATGCATCTTGGAAACATCTGACAAGTCCATAGGTTTTGCAAAAATGTTCATCGGAGGACACATGGTCGAGCATGCATCCATGTCCTCGTCATCATCGAGGTCAAGGTCATCGTCGTCACTGACGTCATCAACGATCTCGCATACATCATCATCTTTGTCTTCACAGTGTGTCCCAGTTGTATCGGGAGCGTAGCTTGGGGAACAGGGGTCGATGAATTCATCTGATTTATCCCCGTCGTCTCCGATTCTCAGGCGGTCATGGATTCTCTTGTGTCGTTCCAAGTTGCTCTTGTGGCTTGTAGCATAATCGCAGTGTGGACAGGTGTAGTCTTTCTGGCCACTGTGTACCGACAAGTGGCGTTTGAGGAGCGCCTTTCGGCAAAACCGCCTTCCGCAATAAGGGCAAGAGTAACCGTTGTGGTGGAAGATCATTATGTGTTCCCGCAGAGAAGCCTTGGTGGTGAAGTGAACACCACAGCATTCCAGAACCTTGTCACAAGCTTGATGCATCGTGGAGATGTGTCTCTTTAGGTTGTTACGTCGGTCTGTGACGTATCGACAATGCGGGCAAGGAAACAGCTTCCCTCTGAAGGTATTGCAGACTAGCATTGCGAGTTCAAGATAGTTCCTGTTAATGAAAGGAGACTTCAGTTTGGACATCTCTGTCGCAAAGGCCGCCTGGTTGACAGCTTGATAGTGGGTGAAACTGATATGTTTGAGGTCCCCGGCCTGTCCTGGGTAGAGTGACGGGTAGTGAAGAAGGGGGGAGGGGAGCGCCAGGGCACCAGAAGGCCCTGACAGGGATGGACCACAGAACGGCAGATTGTGGAAGGGTTGAAGAGCGCCACCGCCTACAGCGCTCAACGACACGTTGGTGAGGCTGGGTCGTGTCTCCGACACACTGGTGCTCGGTTGGGGTGCTCTTATCGCTGGCTGGGGGAAGCTCGCTTCCAGATCCGAGGGGCGACGAGCCGAACCTCTCTCGCACAATCCAGACGCACTGAAGCAGAAAACATGGGGAGATGAGCTTACCACGAATAAAAGGCTGGATTGTCGGCATGAGATGAGATTAACCTGAGTAAGGTCTCACTATGCGGCCGTATCATATAACACCGAACAAGCACAAAGGGCGATAACTATTGCTTTCTTTTGTGATAAGAGCGAAAGGTCAATTTTCCTACCGAGACAGTGACTTAAGTCTTCAGCTGAGACATATTTCTTTCCAATCAAAGTTAATGTAGCGGAAGGAAAAAGCTTTAGTCCTCATTAATCTATTAGCAAGGTTTTGTTGTTGTTGAGAAAATTAGGGATAATGCGGAAAAACAGACACAATTAGGGCGCTCAAACCCAACACTATCAGTTTACAGACTTCAACAAGAGCGATTTCGTTCCGCGCACCTCCCGCCAAGCCCTCTTTTAGAACCAGCCGTCTCTTCGTGGACAATAACCCTGCTATAATCCCTCCACAGTATGTTCTATCCAAACCTGGGCTTCAGCCAGATGAAGGATTACAATGTGAATCTACAAATAATACCTTGTACATTCTGGGGATTTTTTTCCAACACTTAATCAGAAATTCAGCACCTATCTGTTTCATTGTGACCAACACCGGCGATGAATTACGTTACGATCTTGATAGAAATGAAATATTTAGCCGGGTTCCTGATCCCAGAACAAAGAGGGATAAAGAGGACAATCTGTCATATGTCTGAAAAAGTCAGTACCTAATAAAAGTAGATTCACACTAGGCTCGAGACTGAAACCTAGATGTGAATCTGACACCATAGAAATATGTATTACGAACAATGAACAATATGTTTGGTGACACCAACTAGTTTGTGTATTCAAATGTGATCTTCAGTTTTAGAATATGCTTGGGATGTATATTTTGTAGGGTTATATCCGTTGTACATAATTAGTTAAAGATTAAGGAGATTATTTACTGAGCAGTTTTGCATTTACACGTAAAATTCTACATCAATAACAATGTCAGAGATATCACTGTAATCAATATTCAAATATATTTTACACTCGCTAGCATCATATGAGATATGCGTATGATATTCTATATCTGATATCAAAGAATTATTACAATTTGAAGACGACCATAAAAATATATCAGGTATTGAAAATCAACCAAACGTATTTCATCTTGTTTCATGTTTCCTGAAAAGATGCACAGATTAAATTCTAACTAACCAAACAATAATGGCATTATTTACCTGCTTACAAAAATGCAAATTTAATTATCAAGTCCAAACCGCTTGTGACAACAACACTGTACCCTAAGCCAATTTGCTCTGTTTTGTCGTCATTCTCTGTGCTAATCATTAGGAAATCATCTCAAATATAATTTCCACTCCCCCGTGGCTCTTGTAATGGCGGTGATGAATAGCCATCATCATATCGTTTACGCGACGGAAAAATAACACGATTATCGGTCCTAAGTGTTGCCCTTTCGTTTAAGGGGCGTTTAATTGTTTCGTCTATGATAGACTGCTGCAAGGATACCCTCTTTCGCCCATCTTGTTTTGCTTCCCAACTTATTTTTTTATATAATTGTTCAAATAAAATACATGACACAAATATGTTTTGGACAAACATTTTGTAAGGTGATAGGTTCATATTTACGGACTATTGGCTGGATTCCATGGAGCCGAATGGAGCTCTCTTTACAGATTAATCGTTGCTGTGATAACAAAATCTGACACTCGTGAAACGAAATAGCAAGTTCATCAATAAATCTTCTCAATTGGATTACAGGCGGATATAGGCGCCAAAATTACCGAGTAAATTTCGCGTGATTCGCGTCAGACGTTATCGCTTGTGCTTTAGCAGCTGATTACCATAATTGAGCTAATTACAGACCGGACGCCATACGCCAACAGAGGCGGCGAAGAGACAGTCCGATACTGTTCCAAATCAATATAACCCACAAGGTGTCACATGTACCTGAACGCATTTTGATGATGGCAGGAAATGTTTTCCATAACATCATGTGACTACGGTAAATTGCCCATGCGGTGCACGAGATTCACGGGACGTCATGGCGAGCACGTTCTGTGCACACACGCCCAGGGAAAAAATACACGCGGATATTTTTACTCATGTGTTCGTATTGTATCGATGTCCCGGGCGTATTTAAGCCGTCGCTTTGGTCTACAGAAGCACCTGCTAAATCTTGCAGTGCTCGAAACTTATTAAGTGATCATTTGAATCAGTATCGGCCCATTAAATAGTTTATAATTGAGATTTAATCCACAGCAAGATTACCTTGTCAGCGCGTTGCTCAGTTGACACAGACAATGAATATATTATTGTGAAGCCTGCTTGAAAGGTTCACAGCTTTATCGATAAATGATACATGCTTTGCAAGATTCAGAATTGTGTAGGATTTAAGCTGTGCTTTTGAGTCTGAAATTTTAGAAAATTCCAAATGTTTGATCCGGAAACTCCAGTTTGTAACTTTGCACGGGTGAGGTCATGCACTGGGGTCATCCAGATCAAATACGTTGCAAGATTGTGACCTGTCGTTGTCAAATGATATATGAATTTTCAGAAGAATGTAGATGCAGTAATACTAACGCAGAAATGGCGAAGTGGTAGTTGGTGTTGCTGTCATTTTAGTACTGTCAATAATGGAACAGTAATAGCAGCAGCAGTGTAAAAGAAAGATGTATTAGCAATAATTAAATATTTAATAGAACATATGATGGCCGTGGTTGCACTTTAAGTAAACTACGTCTATAACGAACACGCTTATAACGAACTGACCGATATAACGAACTTTTTTAGTCCCGGCCATGTGTTGTATATATGTTGTATATATGCTTATAACGAGCTACGGTTATAAGGAACTAAAATCAGTGGCCCCTTTGAGTTTGTTATAACCGAAGTTTACTGTATTTTGTGTTGACGAAGCAGCACACGTAGATGTAGGGGTCTAGCAACAATAATAGTAAATATATTATATATCATGGATATTTCAATTAACGGCATCATTGCACCTTGTAGCTTTATCAGTGTTTGTTTGTTTGTTTGTTGTTTAACGCCGCACTCAGCAATATTTCAGCTATATGACGGCGGTCTGTAAATAATGAAGTCTTGACCACACAATCCAGTGAGTGTCATTATGCTCATCGATCTACGCAATTGGGATACGATGACTTGCATCAACCACCGATCCCGTCAGTCGCCCGTTACGTCGATCATGGGTTGCTGAAGACCTGTTCTAACCCGGAATCTTCACGGGACGGTTATATCAGTGAACGGAATCACGGCACCTCATGGCTATTTCAGTGAACGCCTACAGTTTGTTTTACAAACGTTCATCACACCTATCGCCTTATCCACGCTTGGCCAACCATGTGACGTAACAATGGAGATAGTGGCACGTTCGAATGGACATTTTATGGTCAGCTGATTGTAGTGGACCTTACGTAGGCCACAGGGAGTAAACCAACAGTTCAGTCAGTGAATGCGGCATACCGATACCGATGAAGGAAAGTCAGGGCCAACTTGCACAAAGCAATATTAGCGCGAAGACTATTGTAAGTCTATGAGAGTTACGATTGTCTAGGCGTTAAGGTCGCTTTGTGCAAGTGGGCCCATGCCTGACGTTACTCCAACACTGATGACATAACATGCCAATGGCTCCGATTATCTTCATACGTGTAATTATATCAGAAATTAAATAAATGAAATTAAACTAGCTTGAGCACCCTTGGAATGTAGATATACATGTAACATTTAGATGGTGAGACTACGTTAACATTCGCAGTTGTCTTCATTCAAAATATAGGTAGAATAGGTCTTCAGCAACCCATGCCTGCCGTGAAAGCGACTATGCTTCTCCTAAGAAGCGACTAACGGGATCAGGTGGTCAGGCTAGCTGACTTGGTTGATGCATGTCATCGTATCCCTATTGTGTGGATCGATGCTCATGATGTCAATCACTGGATTGTCTGGTCCAGACTCGATTATTTACAGACCGCCGTCATATAGCTGGAATATTGCTGAGTGCGGCGTTAAACAACAAACAGACAAACAAACGTTCAAAATATAAAGTGAAGCCCATTTCTGATATTGCAGTAATATTGCTAAAAGCGGCGAAAACCCAAACACATTTTTACACATATATTACCGCAATTGTAACGACTTCACGAGAATGTTTAGCTGAAACATTCAAATTCAGTTATGATCTATTTTTGAATTCGCAGTTTCGATAGCATGTAAACCATCTGGCCCCTTGACACATACATGTGGCAATAAGACATGGTGTATATTAGTGATTATGGTTTATGTATTCACAAAAACTAAAACAGGCATAACCATTGGCTTAATTAAATCATTTCTATGATTAATAATAGTCATACCTACGGTATAGTACAATGATGTCGACATCACCTTACATCTGTATCAATATATTAAATATATTATTAACTATATATTCTTATAATTATATTTACGTTTTAACAAATAATATGATATTTCCTTTCGTTAAACTCTACTTTAATCATCAATTATCAATATTTCGTTAATAAAGCCACAAATTACAACCAATATAACTTGAATAGTGAGTACTACCACAAATCAAATTTGCTACAGGTGAGAAGAGAGGAGATCGAGAGCGTCTTGATATCATTTGCTTTGTTCTTAAGAAGGGGAAATCAGAAAACTGGAACATCCTAACGAGTCTCCACCTGTCTGCAAATCTATTGCTGTCCGTTCTGGTATCTGAATAATGTTAGTATTTTCAACGCATATCAGTTTAGATAGGACAAACGAACACAAATGGATTTTAATTTCAACTCCAAAACGCGTACATACATTGGACAGAAATTAAATGTTTTACTGAGATACGTTTTTGGTCCTGTTATTCCTAATGCTCAGTTCACCTATCATTATTAAAGTAAGCATTCATCTGTGATATTATGTATAGTGAGCTTGGCCAATTCTACTTATCTTCTCATGAATATAGGAAGACATTGGTGGTGTCAC